AAGAGACTGGACAGCCATTTGTCCGAAATGGTATAGGGTTTCCTGCCTGAGCAGGGGGTTGGACTAGATGACCTTCAAGGTCCCTTCCAACTTTACTATTATTATTATTATTATTATTATTATTATTATTATTATTATTATTATTATTATTATTATTATTATTATTATTATTATTATTATTATTATTATTATTATTACTTAACAACTGAGGCAAGAAAGGTCGTAAAATGGGGCAAAATACATGTAACAATGTCTTTTTGGAAATTTTGGGCTCAATTGTGGTTGTATTTCAAGAACTACCTGTAGTCCTTGTATTTTACTGATATTCTAATTCCATTTACATCTAAAATTCATGGATTTGTCTGATGGCGAGATTTGTTGTAGTTTTATATAGAGTTTTCTGTTTGCTGACTAGATTTTGTCTGTAAATCTAAAATAAATTAATGCAAAATTTGAACATCCTAATAATTACATGTGAAGTTTTTATAGATTAATAATACAAATATTCATGCAGATTATATTATTTTATACTTGCTGCATGAGTGTGCTTAAGTAGCTAAGTCACAAAAAAGTCCACAATGTCAGTTCAAAGAAAAAAAATCTCCCAAGTTTAATAAATTAGGCATAGGAGTGGGTGGCTAGGCCCGAAGAAATCACTTTAGATTTCATAGATGAGATATTTAAGATGAAGGGATTGTATTAAGAAAAAATGGAAAATTCTACAGCTCTATAAAAAAATATCTCCTGAAGATCCTGAAAATGGTAGACCAGCATGACTTAATAACTATTGATTGCATTGGTTCCCTCCACTCCATTATGCCTTTTCCAATAACAGGAAATGTGATTGCCTTTATTTATTTATTTTCTTAAGAGGGCAGACTGTTACAAAACACATAGTTTGCCTTTAAAATTAAAGAAAAAAAGTGCCCAGAAGATGATGGCTTGAATGTTTTGTTAACAATTTATACTTCAGAACGTCCTCTGAAAAATCAAATATCTTCATGTACGCTTGCTAAATTTGTCACAAGAAAGAAAGGTGAAAGGATAGGATGGCACTAGCTCTATTAACAGGAGTCTATAGAAGAGAATATACAGGTAAGCCTCAACTTATGACCACAGTTGAGCCCCAAATTTATGTTGCTGAGTGAGACAGCTGTTAAGTGAATTTTGTCCCATTTTATGACCTCTCTTGCCACAGTTGTTAAGTAAAACACTGCAGTAAAGTTAGTAACATAGCTGTTAAGTCAATCTATCTTCCCCATTGATTTTACTTGTCAGAAGGTCACAAAAGGTGATCACATGACCTCAGGACACTGCAGCCATCATAAATATATGCCAGTTGCCAAGTGTCCGAACTTTGATCACATGATCATGTGGATGCTGCAGTGGTCGTAATTGTGAAAAATGGTCATAAGTCAATTTTTTCAGTGCTGTTGTAATTTTGAATGGTCACTAAACGAATGGTTGAGGATTACCTACAGTAAGTCGAGGACTACCTGTATGTAGCTCAGAGCTGAACTGCAGAATCTTTGTGATGTTATTTAGTTAGGTAATGAAACATCTGCAAGTAAACAACTAAACTCAAAAGAGCAACAAAGACTCCATAAGAATCTATGTAAAATAACTTTTCTGCTTTCAAAAAGGGAGATACTTGTAAGCCTCACAATGGATGTTTTCCTCCTGGAACAAGTAGGTAGGATAAAGATCTAATTTTAACCCCCTGAAGGGAAGAGTTTTCTCAATTTTTAGATCAAGTTTGCTACCAAGTAGAGAAGTCAGATTGAGCCTCATTTCTTAGGCAGCATTTTAGTAGCTTGCTCTTAAAATATTTTTATTAATTCATTTGGTCCTTTTATTTGTATCATTTAGGTTTTACTTTTAATAGCTTACTATCTGTACTTGTTGTATCTGTGGTAAATGCTCCTGTTGATTCCTTAGAAATGTGTGAATCTTGAAAGCATTTTTACTATTCCCTCTAGATAACATTGCTTTCTTTTCTATGTCATGGCTCCCCGTGTTTTGTTCCTTTGTTCTTTTATTATTTTTATGAAATCAGTGGTTTGATTTGGTGGTTAGTGACCATAATACAAATTATGATTATTACCTTTAGTATCTTCCTCCAAAAGATTTAGCAAAGTGGTGTGAATGAGTTGGCTTATAAGCTTGCACAGTTATAAATTCAAATCCCTACCTATCATATTTAATTCCACAGCAGAACTTTTGAATTTTCTTATGGTTTCTTTTTCGACTGCTGCCACTATAATTTTGCCACTTCTATCTTTTATTCTCATGAATGACAGGATGGGCATACAAATCAGTGTGATAAATTGGAAGAGATGAGGATATATAAGAGATTAGTACTTTGACAGTTCTCCTTGCCAGACCCATCACAAAATTCATTTTGGGTAAATTGAAGATTTTTTTCCCTCTTACAGTTTCCTTTGCCAATTAACTGTTGAACATTTTTCAGCTCTAAATAAGAGTTCAGGGTTTCAGCCTCAGGCTAGCTATACTGCTGGCTGAAAATTTGGATGCAAACACAAGATTTTAGGCCAATTAACTTTTATTTCTTTGTTTTGGCGCAATATCTAGATGATTCTCAAAACTAATTCTCTAAAATTAAATAGGGATTAATGGAAAAGAAAAAGGTACTATTATACCTTTTTATAGTACAGTTCCATACTCAAGGAATAAGCTGAGACATTTTCTGTTAACAAATGTTTCTATATTTTATTGACATCCATTAATTTTGAATGGCTGAGCTAGGATGTTTCCAAGGGACTTTTTGTTCCTGTTTTCAGAGACTTACAATCACAATGAAGCCCAGACTTTTGGTCGTTGTGTCTAAGTTGAGGCACCATGTGTTCTTACTCTATTTTACAGCTGTTTTTATAACAGTTGTAAAATGAGTCACCATGGTCATTAAACAAATCGTGGTTGTTAAATGAACATAACCAATGGGCATTTCATTGCAAATCACAGTCTCATGATGGGACCCTGGTGGTTAGCCATTTGCCAAGCACCGAAAATGCAATCATATCTCTGTGGTAGGAGGTGTGGCAGTTATAACTTAAGAGCAGTTGTAACTCTGTCATAACTTCAAATGGTTGTTGGTCGGAAGTGGAGGACTACCTGTAGGAAAGTTTTGTTTTTTCTGGTACTCTTATATTCCTTTCAGTATGTTTCTGTATTCTGCTAGTTCCTTATACTCCCCAAGTGCATGATTTTACCTTAGGTTTGACTTTGATTTTCATACTGCCATCAGAGTTTGGTAGCATTAAACAGTCCAGGGGATCAAGAAGCAACAGTAGTAGCTTCTGCATAGTAGAAGGACACAAAAGCTGTAATTTATAAAAGGTACAACATTCTTATAAGTATTTAGAAGGACATGGACCCGAAGGCCTTGCTCTGTCATAGCTCCACAACTGGTCCTAGAGATATGTCTGGTTCCTCTCCATATTAGCCCTTCAGGAGGCATTTAAGTCTCTCTTTAAACAGGCATTTGGGTATGGATATTTTGGGGTTGTTTGAATCAGGTAGATGCAATACATACTGGATTTTGTTGTTATTTTGTTATCTTTTAATTTTATCCTTTGAAATCTCCAATTCATTTAAACTGCTTCAAATGTTAATAAATAATAGATAAGAGCTTTCCCGCCTCTTCTCTACACTTTAAAACAGATTTGAAATCGATTAAGTCTGTTCTTCAGATACGTATATCTTCATTTAGATTAATATTTTTGCATCCATTCTATTAATAGGCCGATTGACACAAATACTTGGATGCATAATTTTTTGCTGTCCACTAGTAAAGAACCCTCTCCATATGAAGTTCCATTTGGGATATTTTGTATTTAATGAGAAAAGAGGGAAGTAATTTTTGGTTTGGTTTGGTTTTTGATTTCTCCCTGGATTTTGAGGGCATTGGAAGCCTTTATACCAGATTTTACTTGCTCAGATCAGAATCTTTCTGGGAACAAATAAACCATTTTCATTTGTGACAGGCAGATTCTTATGCATTTGTTTTTCAATATTATCTATAGAACTATCCACACAGACATTTTGAGGGATGCAAAATGTGGGAAAAGCTACTAGATGTATCCATTTAACTTTTCTGTTGTTACATCAACTTTTCTTCTACCTGCCTCAAATGCTCTTCTAAGCATGATAGGTTCAGACTGTTCAAAATTGATGGGGATGGCTGATTACTGTATGACAGTTCAATGGAAGTCAGTATTTTTTCTATGAATGGGTATATTTCACTCCAGTCTGTAGAACTTCCCATTCTCCCAACAGATGAAGAAGTGCATGCTGTAGCAACTGATGGAAGGTTTGCCATAATATATTGCTCTTTTTAGTTGAACTCTTAATGATATTCCTTCTCAAAAAGGCATTTTCCTTGATGACTGAATTCATTGAAAACCTGAAGACAGATTGCTGTACATTTGAAACTCAAAAAATATTGCCATGAAATAGGTTTGGAATAGCTTACATTCACAAATAAAATTTGTGTGAGTATTTCAGGTAATCTGTAGGCATTATTTTACCATGAAAGAACGTGAGTTTGTAATGAAATGTAGTGATACGCTATTCCATCATAGATACAATGCAATGTTTTTTCCAAGACCCTTGAGGCCATATTATCAAGAACTAC